CCCCCCCCCAATATATATACAACTCCCAAATAAAACAGAAGTCCAACCTTTCCTCCACACAGAAAGGAAGACTGACAATAAGCTAAATATAGATTTCAAGTTCAAGTATTTGCCTATAGTAAACTGAAATGGTACCTTCTTGTACCTAAGTGAGATGGCAATCTATTCTGCTGCCTGTCTGGCACCATGGAAAGCTGTTACTGGTTTTACAGTGTGGAGAATTCAACTTGTGTTGACAGACTGTTAGATTTCTTGTTGATAATAACAGCATGGACCACATTTTGCACAATATACTTACAGCTTTAAGGCAAGAAGCCTGCTGATGAACCAGTTTAGGCACTTCAGGTTTTTATACTAAGTATTAATTAAAGTTAATGGAAAGACTCACATTGACTTAAATGAACCCAAATCCTACTCCTTAATATACTATAGTTTTAAGAAATACATTCTTAAAAGAACTTAATCCGAGTACTCTATTCTAGGTGCTTTTCACCTGTAAACAAGCACCCCTCAGCTGAAAGACAATGAATGCTTTGATCAATCGGATGAAACCAAATCTTGCCTATCAATGTTTTTCCATCTTCGCATGGAAACAGTCCCCGTGACTTAGGACGATCAGTCATTTCCTTGGCTAAGGACTTCTTGCCAGTATACAACTAACTTAGTGGTGCCCTTAGAGTCCAATCCACACACAACCATAAACTACAACTGATTAGCTGCCAAGAGAAAGTATCCTGCAAGATACCCAACAGATCAAAATGTGAAGTCAGGAAGACAGACTATCTAACACTTTTGTAGAGCTCTAAATAAAACCCAAACATGTATGACAAACAGAAAAGAGTATTATTTTACCAACTTAGCTGTATTTTATACCCAAAATACTTGACCATAAGCTACTAAAAATGTTTTATATTTCTCAGCTCTCCTGTAGTAGTTTTTCTTTTTTATTCAAAATATGGAAGATATCTTCTAGGAAATTTTTCAAGCCCATGACTGTCTTTTGTTTATAAGGCGCACGGTATTTTTTCAATTTATATATTGAGTTCACAGTAGAACTGACCTCATGAAAAAGGTTTTAAGAGAGTTTTCATGAAATACTAATACAATTTTAGCAAGTCTGCAAGGACTTCAGGATATTTATCCGATAGAAGTAAGGGAACACGGTAAACTTACTTCAAAACAATTCATTTCAAGATCTTCAAATTTTCCTGTAATTGATGTTCCAGCACAGTTAACAAGCATGTCAACTGGTCCCAATTTCTCCTGAGCCTAAGAAGGGAAAAACATTATCTGTATTAGGGCTGTTCAACTTCTAGGCAGACAGGGACCACAAGCCGCACAGGCCACAATTCTGGAGGCTTCATGAGGGATGTGTTGCAGACTGAGGGATGCTTTCCATGCAGGCAGCGCCAGGGCTCTCCCCTGCCATGTGGGCACCCTAGCCTTCTCACATGGTGCAAACAACATGGCTCCCTCCTCCCCTCCTGGCCACATGTCCACCCACAACGTTGGCAGCCCAGTACCTGTCTTTTTTGTACACAGTGCAAGGGCCAACTGTCTCCCCTGTCTCAAGCAGCAAATGCATCCCACCCTCTCCTGCTACACTGGCCCACCCCCAGGAACAGGAGCAGTAAGCAGAAGCTAAAGGAACCCAAAGAACCTGGTGGCCATAGCAGTAGCAAATCAGGAGCGGGAGCAGCAGTGGCAGCTGCGCTGGGAGCTTGCAGGGCACAAGCTAACTGTTTGGTGGCCACATACAGTCTGTGGGCCACCGGTTGGGCAACCCTGATCTATATTAATAGGTAAGAAAGTGTTTTTCCTATGATGTGGCAAGTCAAATGTTAATATTTACAAGAAACTATTTCTGCTACACACTTGTAGCATGAGAAAGAGCTTTCTGAACATAAATGAATTGATTACTTCCTTACTTGTTTTAGGACGTTCTCCACATGTCCGTAGTCTTTAGACACATCAACAGATATACAAAGCACAACCTAATGAAAAGAAGAGAGGCTGTAACATTCAGCAGAATAAGAATCAAGTCCAACTCTTTAGAAGATTTTAAAGAACAAATCTTTTCAGCAGATGAAGAAGGCACTTTCTGTGGTCTGCGTGTGCCTCACATGCTTCCAAATGCAAGATGAGGACAACACCCACCTTACTGGGTTACTGAGAGGCCAGGCTTATTCACGTATAAAGGCAGAACCTTACTTCGGAAATTTATGATTATACTACTATTACAAGTAAAAAAGTGTCTTAAATAACAAACACTATTTTACTTAATTCTATACTAGTGCCGTAGTTTCTCTATGCTATTCTTTTCAACAGATTGTTCTAACAATAGGACATTACTCATGTAAAAGTTTGGTACTATTTTTATAAAACAGGTTAAGTGCACTTCTTTATTGGGCTTCATTTGGAAAGCTGCAACTGACAGAATGGAAAACATTTCCATGAGTAACTAATGCTACAGTTGTGACATATTTAAGATATGAGGATCTCTTCACATAACAGATGCAGAAAGTAATTTCACAATATGGTTGACCTTTAATCTTTTGGAATCATGAAGCACATGGTTTCATATTGGGAATTCATAGAAATATGAACACTAATTTTAGGTCTAAAAGAAAGAAAACTTCTACAATGATTCTGAATCCGTAAAATGTATAGTAACCAATGGCTGAAGTTGAAGATTTACTCATTTTTTCCTGACACTGACAGGGTTTCCAGCAAATGACAATGACTAGTTGTTCCTGCATTCTTGTTAGCATTCCAATTGCTAATCTGTGGCTCTGGTCAAGTCACTTAAAGTACTCTCTCAAATGAAGTTTCAACATGAATTTTACTGCCATTATGATGCATAAAATACAAAGGAACTGTGGCAGGGAACTATTTGCCTATTTTTCCAGAAGCCTAGGTAGTAAGATTATCCGTAACTATTTGCCAAATTTTCCAGAAGCCTAGGTAGTAAGATTATCCGCCTATGGTAAGGTTGTAACATTTGTTTGCTGTATAAACAGAAGCCGATAGCCAATCCTGTTTGTCAGGTTAACTAGTCCTTCTCAGCAGGGTCCCACAAATTGCAGTGACACTAGATGGGCTTCTGAACATTTTATGGGGGAGACAGTAAGGATAACTGCCCAGAGATTCTCCCAAAGGCACTGTTACAGTTGGCACATGAACAAGATGGACAAGTAAAGGTGCAAAAGAGGCAATGCCTAATGCCTATGTTTTTACAAATGGGTCAGAGGAATGGATTGTTTGGTTACAAAACACTCACAACTAAGTGCCTTAAGTACATATCTTCATTTTTCAAATACTGAAACTCTCTCACAAGGCCTCAGATGATTAACTAGTTTGTTTATAAAACACTAACTGTACTAAATTTTATAAAAATAACTGCAAGATAAGCCAACTGCAGACTGAGAAGCTCCCACATTTGTAGGGTATTTAGGTAAGTGAGTTGCAAGACTATTCAAGCTTTGGATATTACCCACCCTGGCACAAACAGTGGGTCTTCATTCCGCAACAAGAAGCAATTGAGACCTACAGATATACAAACAAGTATATTTTATAATAAAAAAAATCTAGAAGTTGCAGTCCAAAATATCCTCTTGCTAACCCTCCAAAATCCAGCCTTATGGTATGATCATAGAAGACAAGCATGGACTACAACAGCAGGGGAAATAGAAAGGTTGAATATCCTTACAGGTTTACCTGTACAGATGCCAGGCTTAGCTTTGAACTTATGTTCTCTTCAGTTCTACTTTCTTGGAGTTGATTAATCAATTTTATTACATTTTAGAATTTGGCGGGGGGGAACCTACTATTAAAAGAAGAATATGTTGTCTTAGTTGAATATAGAGGGCAGATCAGTCAGGAGGTTTCAGTTGTTGCAACCCTAGAGCAACAGCAGACACTTCAGAGCAAGATTACTTATCTAAACAATTGGTTAGTTGCCTGCAACATGAGTCACTTTAGTCAGCAGCTGCCAAAGCTATTCTTTACCTCTGATAAGACAATCAGATAGTACATGCAGGTCTCTACTTCCATCGCTAAGAGTTCCTTTTTCCCTGGATCATTAATGTTACCTTCCAGAGAATATGGGTAATTCCTTTTATTAAGCAGGAGCCAGAAGAAATGACACCATAAATCCTCTAAACTGTCCCTTATAGTTCCCCTCAGCTTTCCTCTAAAAGAGGGTGAAATTGCATTTGTTCACTAATGAAGCTGCTTCTGCCTTAAAAGGTGCAATCTAACTCCAACTGAAGTAACTGGAAAAAGTCCCACATTGTGAGCTCTCTATAGATTTTATTCCCTTTAGCACACATTATCTGTTTAGGGCTCTGTACATTGAAAATAAATGAAAAAGTTGTGTTAATTATTCCAGGAAAAGCAAGGAAATGCCAGAATTCATTCTGCCCATTCAATCCTAATCAGTCCCCCTGCACTGTGATAGCTTTAGATGAGCAAATACTATTCTTTCCATGCAATCTTTGCTTCCCTGATTCTTGCCCCACCACCAATCAGTCACAGCTCTACTTTACATTCTGTTTCTTGCCAGGCCTCCTCCCTTTCTTACTATGCTAGCTTCCAATGAGTCCTAGTGTTCCCCATTAAACCAAGTCCCAAACTGCTGGTCTCAAGCTTCCTGTTCTTGCCAGATTCATCCCTTGTTTCCTTTACACTTAAATCATTCTTTCAATACACTGCTTAGCCCCCAGCCAAAGCAGCACTGAGTATAGGGGAGGTAAGCTATCTGCTCTTAGTTCTAGAGCCCAATCCCAGCACTGCCTGAGATAGCAATTAATGTCCTACTCAGTCCTGAGCTGCAGGATGCCTACTAAGGATGGTACAGTCAAAGATTTTAGCAGCAAAGTTCTAACAAGTCTCGGTAAGCATGTGCTACCTGCCTTGAAGAGAGGGAAAATAAGAGAGACCTATAAATTAGACTGGACTGAATTTTGATAGCTTTTCATGAGGACATCCCTGACACAGAGGCTTCACCCCAATCAAGTTTTGATCCAAAGAAAGGGGGCATTAGAACATCAAAGAAAAAATTGCCAGAATTTTGACACACAACAAAACCACGGGAAAATATATTGTGCCTTAATTCAAAATTCTTCTGAGGAATGAATGCCAAAAAGTTATGAGATTATGACAAAGTTATAAATGGGAAAAAGTTATTGGAAATGGTACTGGGCAACCTTAATATCAGATGGTAGCATCAATCCCACCTCTATTTGTGAGCTTTACTGCTTCTTTTCTACTCAATACCCAGCTTGTCAACTAATTCGCTTGTGGACAGAAGCAGTGCTTTACAGCTAGCATAGATGCCAGTAAATGAGGATTTACCGTCATAAAAAAAAAATCCTGCCAGTCATTAATAGCAATTCTAGGCACAAGCGAGGGGAAGTAACCAACTCCACCACACCGATTCTTCTGCTATTTTTCATTCATTGTTACAATAAAAAGGAAAAAGAATGGAAATAATTTTTAGAATTCTCTATTCGGAAGAGTTCTGTGCATTTTGAACACAGTAATTTTATTTGGTTTACACTGAAAAAGGCAGGAAGCTCTAAAAACACTTCTGAAGCCCCAAGACTGAGTAAAGGGGTGTAGGTTGTAGCTGTGTTGGGTCTAAGGACATAGGCAGACAAGGTTCTTTGGGTGAATCTGATATCTTTTATTAGACCAACTACATAGTTGGAAAACAATATTCAGGCAAGCTTTCGGGTTCAAAAACCCTTCGTCAAGCTAAGGAAGCTTCAGCAGTTGGTGTGTGCTCTTCCTGGATGGAATGAAAAGTAAAAAAGCCAGACCCTGGGCTGGTATGCATATAAGACAGGCAGTCAGTGAAAATGGAGATTGAGGAGTCAATGGGTAAGAGATAGGCTGGGTGGGGGGGAGAGAAGGGGGAAGAATAGTGGAGAAGTACCTGGGAAGTCAGCTGTCAGGCAGGTTAAAGCTTGCTTAAATATTGTTCTCCAACTATTTAGTTGGTCTAATTAAAGATATCAGATTTACCCAAAGAACCCTGTCTGCCTAAGACTGAGTAAAAGCATTTAAGCTTAAATACATTCCTATTGAACAGAACACTAAAGGAAGTGTTTAGAGGTTCAACCTGTACCATTGCTTCAGATGCTTAATTTAAACATCTGCTTCAGTGATTTGCTGAACAGGAATGGACTTAACTATGTACTCACAGCCTGTACTGAATCAGTGCATGGAAAAGAACATTAAGTTATTTCTATTCCCAAATCGATGATTCCGCTAATGATTTAATTTTAAAACAATTTAAAGAATGGATTTGCAAAAGAAAAAGATACTAGCTCTTCCTGTACTTAAGTGTCAAGATCCAGAATCAGGGTTCTATATTTATCATAAGCCATAATAATACATGACTCACTCAGAACATGTTTACACCAAAAAAACCCTTCCATTTGTGGAACGTAGAGCTCTGTATAGTTAAAATGATAACAAAGATGCGAAAAGCCTGAACTTGCATCTAGCCGGGTAAAGTGTCTTTCAAATTTGTAAAATTAATATTTCATGACCCAAAGAGTTTTCCTTTTAAAAGTGTAATTATATATAGGACAGACACTAACATTTGAGTAGCTAGTGGTAGCAACAATCTTACCTGTTTGTCATTTACAGAGTATTTTTCTATTTCTTTCTTTGTCTGCAACAGCTTGTTCTGAAATTAATACCATAGTTCAAGCATTATTCTTTCATATTATAACAACATTTAAAAAGCTTCAGGAAGCTGAGGATAGCTATTTTAGTTTTGTAAAAAGTCTGTCTTTAAACTGGCTATATCTTGTTAGTGTATTGACATGGACAAAATTATAAATCAAAACAGTTAGCTTCATTAAGCTCTCAGAAGTCACAACATTAGATTTTTACACTCTCTAGAGGCTTAATGCCAGCATTCAAGCCCTTACTATGCTGTTAGGACTAAGAACAAACATGTCAATTAATATTTTATTCAGTAACAGACAGGAAGACTTTAGGGAGCTAATGCGGATTTGTATAATATTGTTTATATACTATTCTCTAAATTATTCTGCTGAACACTTGCAGTAATTGTACACACTCAGCTTGCCCCCAAATTGGGGCAGTTTTTCTGGTTTTTAAATTTTATTTACTTTATGCAACTATCTTAGCACTGTAAGAATTAGCAAACTGTATTCAAGACTGTAAAAGGGACTTTTTCAATTATATACAGATTACCAGGCACAACTGTTGGTTGAAAAATGCCATTTGCCTCCTCGAGAAATTTGTTTACACTTCCACAATAAGTGAATATTTTGGTTAAAAATCTGCCAAATGGAACTGAAAAAAAAATACAGTGGGAAAAGCTGGGTAGTTGTAACCAAAATTAAAAACTTTCTGAAAGATTTTTTGCATTAAAGTGTTTTGATGAAAAATTTCGCTAGCTTCAACAAGCAAAAAACCCAACAAAACAAAAAACTAACCATAATTCTCATATTTTCTTATAATGGAGTGATGATTAAAAGGCCTGACAGCATTCTCAGAATTCTAGGTTCTTATGTTTTAAATCTAAGCTGTATTAAGTGTACAAGGCAGCACAGAACAAATGACACTGTTTGTTCTATATCGATATATATTCTATATTGTATGAGGCAATAAAGAAACTGAAGATCCTATCTTTTGGACTCTGCTATTAACCCTGCAAGCAGATGATTAATAAAGTAAATGCCATTCTCAAGGCTGTACCAGGGCCATCTCTGATGAATAAGAGCAATGTACATTCCATAAGACATAAAGGCAACAAAACCTTTTCAATGGGGGAAAAGAAAGAAAGAAAGACATCACCCACTAAGAAAAGATGTCACTCTTAAAAGCAACAGCTGAAACAAGAAAGGTGTGTGCATGTGGGGAGGTAGTCAACATTTTTAAGATACTAAACCAGATTGCTTGGACAAAGAAATAGTAATGGATTTTAGCGAGTGTTTGCCAGAAACACAATATGACTAATTACTGTCTTTAAAAAAAAAAAAAAAATCATAGTTGTACTTTAATGGCTTCAGGACACTTTTTTTTTTTTTTAGTAAACTTGTATAACATACCTCATTTCTTGCAATGAGAGTTATAAATGCACCCTGCTTATAGCATTCAATAGCAACACATTTTCCAATTCCACTGGAACCCCCAGTTACCTAAAAACAAGCAACAAAAACAAAACAAAAAAAAACAAACCACACGTCAAGCAGCAGTTTCAGTCATTCATTATTCTCATCCCTCAAATCCTGAAAACCAAAGTTTTCAGAATGATACTTCATGCAATAATGAAAATAAAAATGCACAGCAGAATTCAGTATGAGAAATATTTTTAGCTCATATTGTATTATATAGTCAATAACTTCACAAGTTGTACAAATACATAATGCACAATATTTATTATTGCAACCTTGACAAAATCTTAACATATTTATGATCTTTAGTCGTTTCCAAAAAAGCCACTTCCTTCCAGAATGATATTCTTGCTTGTCCCTTATATACCTGCATATGCATTTGGTCAAACTCACTTGTGCCACGACTGAACTACATACATTGATATAAAAGAAGTTTCCGTGTGAAGACAACAGTACATAGGAAATCTTGGTACAAAATAGAAGCTGCCTTTCTATATCATAATGCCTGTAATTCAAAATACCTTTTTAATACTGAATTGAACTGGCAGATTGATAACCGACTACGTGCCTTTGGCAGTCAAGCATTCTCTCCTTCCCAGCTTTCTAATCAGTTTTTTCAGGGTATCCTTTGAATGATTCCTTCTTCCTCCAAGCTGTCTGATTAGGTGCTCCAGCAATCTGGCCTTGGTCATGTCTCCTCTATCCCTGAATTCTATATAATCTCATAGGTAAATACAAATTCAACCAACACCTCTCTACCTGCCTCAGACCTTTCTCCTTCTGTCTAAACTGAAAACTTTTGCTTGTCTGATATCTCAGAGAAGCCAAGTCCACAGGTCAAGAATCAACATAACTAACATCTTTAATCATTCCTCATTTGTCTTTTTTAAATCATTGGAGACACCACCACCAGCTTGTGCAAAACCAGACATTTTTTTTTTGCAGGGCTACCCCTTGGAAAGATTAGGTTTTATTCACAAGTCAGGGGTATGCAGAGCCACAGCAAACAGCTGTGTGGGACCACTGATGTGCTCCAGCTCTTGCTGCAGCTTATTTCAATGGGCAGCACTCCTCTGATCAGCTATGCAGGACTGTTGATGAATGCCATCTCTGCAGAGAAGCATTATTATTATATTGAACCTGTTCACCATTATGACTGGATATCAAGCTTTTGGTGACATGGGTCTGGTCAGTCCTCTGGGAATCTCTCACTGTATCATTCTGCACCCCACCCCTAACTGCCACTGGTCTGTAGATAGAGGTCTACTCCCAACTTACAAGAAAGAAAAAAAAAAGAGAAAAATCAATAAGCTTCCTTGTACTGCTTTTTACTTAAAGCTGTTTTACCAAGTCAGCTGCATCCTCATTCCTTATTAGCCACAGCACCTCATTCTGCACCCCTAGCTCCTAGGAGCCAAAAAGCATGGGTCCAAACTCACCCATCCCTCCTGATGTTCACCTTTCAGCCCTTTGATGTTACCACCACAGAACTTCACAACTGTAAACCAGTTCACAACCAGTGACATTTTGAAGCAGTTCAATTGTTGTGTCTGCACCCTCAGAACAATGCTGCAAAGTTACCCCAGCATTTAATTTTGACATCTCTCTGCACTGCTCCACTACACCCTCTTCTTGCTTGCATCCAACAAGCTACCCACCTTTACTTCCAAGGCATTTCACAACCTCAGCCATGTCTCTTAGTATCAAAAAGACCCTCCTGCTGATCAGCCCATGATACCAGCCTCCTTTACCTGCATGTTCGTTTAAAAAAACAAAACAAAAACAAAAAACCCCCAAACAACTCAAAAACCCTGTGCTTTTTCCCCATGATCACCTTAAGATTAGGAGGACCTTCCTGTAAGTAGTCTGAAAAATCTTCCTCATAGGGACATATTGTTCAAATCTCCTTGAAACCAAGGGCTTAAAAAACAAACAAACAACCCAAGCAAACAAAGTCCAACTGACAGTGGTTAGGTTGCTGGTGTGCAAATCACTAGACCAACAGAATCTCTAGCCAACAAAATCTCTTTGTTTCTTTGCACTCCTTGTCTATATCTACCTCTTGTCATAGTAATTTTTAAACTATATAACAGGCTGAATTAAGCAGCTATAATTCTTAGAAGAAACCAAGATATACATTTTTTAAGTTCTTAGTATTTCTGGTCACTCAGAATAAAAAGAAAAAATGAATTTAAAAGTGTCTGAACTCAGTAGAACTTTTTGTCCTCATCATAAGCTGTAAAATGTGTCACAACTTCAGCTTTTTCAGTTTTCCTAAGCTTTTGTCAAAATGGTTAGACCCCCCATTTCTTCTATTACCTTTTTTTTGTTTGTTTAAACAGAATTGTGAAAGAGAACTTTGAGGTTCATTAACAGGAAAGCTGCTTCCATCCAACTTCTCTCTCAGACTTAAAAATTAAACAATTAGCTCTAATGTAGTGCTTTCCATCTTGGGATCCTAAAAGCACTAAATATCTTCAGTATTACAAAAAGGAAAAAAAGGATGTGTAGAGCTAATTAGCAGAAGGTCCAGGATAGAAACACACTGCTTTGGCGATCAAAGGACCTACTCTAGGTCCTACTGCTTGCTCTACCTACCATTGCTTTGGCAATCAACGGACCTACTGCTCTACCTGATGGCTTGTACTGCCACCTCACCTGCTTCTATCACCATGTAAAATTCCTTGATTTTACAGAGAGGCTTTCCCTGTATCCCAGGCATAGAAACAAAAGGGAATTCAGAGTCAGAACTGCAGAGTTCTGTTCCAACTGTATGCGGAGCTAGGAATTCTTTTTTTTTTCTTTTGCACAGCAAGAGAGGTGATCACCAACGTTCAAATGACAAAATCCAGACTGGTGAACCAGAAGAATTTCAGAAACATTTTAGTGCAAGTCCAAGTGCATTTTTGGCAAACCTGTCAAAGACAGCAGCAATTTTCATTGTGGCCCAGTTTGTGACTGATGCCTGCAGTCATACTGTCCATTCTTTCATCTTCCAGAGATATCAGATATCTGCAACTGATACTGTTCAACCACTATTTCTAGAGTAGCTTGCTACATGAAGTTCTTTCACAGCCTGGCAATCAGGTGTTTGTCTGGTAGATGACCATGATCCCAGAATTCTTGGCAACATACCTCACGATTAAATTAAAAAGCTTTAAGAGCTTTACCCCACTCCCAAAATGGTTACTGAGATATGCCTCATATCTCCAGAGAGTTCTGGGGAGTCTTGCGCATTGGTAAATTGAGGCTGGCCACGGCTTAGATGAATGCATGAATTCTGTGTCTGCATATTTTGGGTGGGTCAATGTAACAGAGTGGGAAACCAGTGAATGAGTGATGATTAATATTCCAGCTAAGATTCTCTCAGCATGGCATTAGGCTGTACACCCAGTTATATGCTCCTGGTCCAGAACTGTGCATAGTTTTCAGCAGCTGAGAATATCAGTTCCAGAGTAGTTCTAAGAAGTGTAGGTACATTAACACCTAACTTGTGCCTTTCAGTTTTCAAATAAAGTTAGTCCTTATTTTTATCTTTGTGCATGCCTTTTTCAAATGAATGTTTAAGTTAAAGTTTCTATCAAAGTTTATACCCGGGGGGCACCTGGTGGCTGCCTATAAGGGGTGTACATCAGGATCTGGGGGAACGCCTGTTCACCAGAGTGTCCCAAGGGATGACAAGGTCAAACAGTCACAAACTCCTCCAAGATTGTTTCAGGCTGGATATAAGGAAGAACTGCTTTACTGTCCGAGCCCCCAGGGCCTGGAACAGACTGCCTCCAGACGTGGTGCAAACACCTACTCTGGACTCCTTTAAGAGATATTTGGATGTTTATCTTGCTGGGATCCTTTGACGCCAGCTGACTTCCTGCCCCTGGGGCAGGGAGCTGGACTCGATCTTCCAAGGTCCTTTCCAGCCTCACCGTCTATGAACCCAAGATCACTGGACAGACCTCATTTCAGAGCTTCTGACCACAAGATGTGCCAGTGAACAGTTCCTTGGCAACCTTATGGTTGAGGTAAGAGGCTGTTGCACCTAACTTTTGGAGGCACCAAGGTGGAGCTTTGTGTACTGAAGTTGTTTCACCTTATTCCAAATGGCAGCAAGATTTGCCTTGGGGAGCGATGTTGTAAGCGTAAATGAACATGTATAATAAGGTGTCCAGTATACAATTATTATAGGATCCAAAGGATCTACATTAGCAAAGGAACTAGTAATGAATCCTGGAATTATATGTAGTTACTAAGGTATTACTGAAATGTGCTTGGATGATCTGTTTGTTCAACTGGACACAGTATCTGTGGTTGCTTAACAAGGTAGCAGCTCCATAGTACTATGGCACTTGACAAATTTTGGTGCCTTGAGCAGCAGACATATCTGTCAAGTACAATATAGGGCAGTGGTTCTCATCCTTTTTAGACTTCAGACTCCAGCTGCCAGCTCTTACTTTTCACTTGATGTTTGACTACAGAAAAATGATACAGCAATTTTTCTGTTGCAAAGTGCTCAGAAAGATAACAGATCAGAACATTTTTAACACTATGCATCCCTACATGAAGTCTCTGGATTTACCTTATGTATAATCATGTTTGCACACCTAAATGTACAAACATTGTCACGTGGCAATTTTGGGTGGCTCCTGGTGCTCTTAAAACCTGGACTGTTCACACATGAATGCTTGCAATTAGTTTTAAGCATTTGTTAGGCAGCTTAAAGTTATGCCGCTGTAGGGCAGGATTATTTGTCCCACCCAATACATATTACAAAGCTGTGGGCACTCTAAGCTACACCTTAGTGTAACCATTCCCCACCCTCCTCCCCTGCTGGCCCAGATTTGGCCCACTGCTGCCCCCTGCTCTCCCCAAATCCCGGCTCACTGCCTCCCTGCTTACTTGTGGCTGCCCATGATCTGTCATGGGGGAGCAGGCAGGGAAGGGTTAACCTGCCTGCTTGGCTGTCACTTCACTGCCACTCCCTGGGCCAGGCTCATCCCAGGAGAGCACCAGCTCAGCAGCAGGGGCCAGGCAGGCCTGCTCCCCTGGGACAGAGAGTGCAGGCAGTCACAACTAAGCAAGAGAGAGGGGAAATTGGGGGGGGGGGGGGGCACAGACACACACCAGGGGAGCCATGGGGAGAAACCTGAAATGAGCAGGGCAGAGATCTTACCTTTCATTCCTCCCGGCCCCTGCTAACCTGAACGTGCAACTACTCCAAACTCAAGCTAGCACTGACACTGATCAACTTGTGTGCAGCTCACACCATAACATGTAGCAGGGCCCTAAGGGTGCCAACACTGTGTGGCACCCTGGGCCATCCTTGAAAGGCTCTGAAGGCGTGCCAGGGAGCAGCAGCACCCAGCTGAGGGACTGATACTACTGCTGTGGCTTTCAGAGTCTACTGGAAGGCTGCCTCAGAGCAATGACTAATGGCAAGAACCTGGTCAGTTCTGAAACCCTGTCCTGACGCAGGGCGGCCTTTACAGGGACACCAGTCAGGGTTCAGTACTGTCAGGGGTCTGAAAAGGAGAGGCACCAGGCAAGAGCTGTGGGCCCCTTTGGCTGCTTGCCACCTTCAAGAGGGGCAGAAGCATCACAGAGGCAATGGGGCTCTTCCCTAGGGAACACCCTGCAGTGGGGCAGCCACAGCAGGAGCCTGGTACCAAGGAGCATTGTTACCAGAGCTTCTTTTGTTCCTAGGAGCCATAAGATCCCCAGTCCTCACCCCTGGACAAGACGGAGGACACAGAAGTGACAGGTCCCTTTGCTGCTGGAAGACCTGTTCCTACACCTCCTGCCCCTCAGCTTTCCCTCTTGGGATACCCTTGCCCCCCACCCTGAGCAAATGGAACACTCTGCATGCCCACCTCACGACAGCATGACCCCCCACAAATGGAAAACTCCACATGCCCCCGCCCC